CGCAACTGTTTTTATTTAATCCATGTATATACATGTGATGAAAAAAAATTTTCACTAACGGCATTATTATACACGAACTACACTTGTGTAAAGAATATCAAAGCTTTTAAGATTCTGAGCGGAGCGAGGAATGTATGGGTTTTACAATAATGTTTACTTTTATTTTTCTGTTGATAACTTTTCTATCAGCAATTTTTTTCAAGAATAACCTTTTTTCTGAAAAGGACTCTGACTGTGGTAGTGCTTTAGGGAGATAACTTTTAGATTTTCCCAGCTGTTTAATAAATGGGAAAAAACATGGTAAAAACCAGAAAAAAACGGGAAAATGTACCAATGTGTATTGCGTTTTAAATTTTTTGTTTTATGTTTTATTTTGTTTTGATTTGTTCTGATTCAGTTTATAATATTTATAGAAACTTTAAGTTTATACAGAAACTTATATTTGCCTTTTCTAGACGTGATAAAATTTTCAAAACATTTCAGCCATTTTTGAGTTATTTAGGTACTCTGTGTGGGAGCTATAGGTTCATTATAAGTTGTACTTAGTGGCTCAAAAAATATAAATAAAAAAAATTGAGTTTAATTTAATATTTTTTTTGTTGTTTTTGAAGAACTTTAATATCAAATTTTGATGAAATTTGTAAATATTACAAAACAATACTATTACCAAACTCCACTCAGAATCGTTTGCCATGGTAAATCGTTGCGTGCAGATATACATTAAATTTCCTCTCTACCTTTCTAACTTCTCACCTACAACAGTGGTCCGCCCATCTTCCGAAGTAAGTCCGTATCTTTTTTAATTCTTTAGAAAGTATTGTATAATATTACGCGTTCATTTTCAAGAAAAATTGCTGAGAGTTTCGATAAGAACTTGCCAAGCATTCGTATACAAATGGTATTATTATGGATGCATTACTTTTAGTTATCGTATCGTCGTGGTTGTGCCAATTTTTTTATTAATTTGTTAGCTTTGGATTATCACATTTGTTAAGAAAACTCTTAGAAAAATCGAAAAATGATCTTCCTAAAATGCCTTCCCAATCAGATTTACTTTCAGAAAAAGTACTATCATTGTAAATCGGAGCGAAATTGCCGATAGAAAATTGTACACAGATAATAAAAGGCCATAATATTTTTTTATTAATACCTACATTTCGTACACTTTCGGTTTTTCCGACATTTTATCCATGTTTTTCCCATTATTTAGGAAAACCAATCGGAAAATTACAAAAATGACCTCCCTAAACCATAGAGATAAAAAAATAAAGTGTTGTAAATACTATTAACAAAAACTAAACATAAGGACAACGTTGACCGCCTTCCTATACTTGTTTCTCGTGGTGGAGTAAATAAACTAATTGTATTATTTTCGTCAATGAATAAGGACCACCCTACCCTCCACCATCAATAATTCAGTACAGGACGACAGATGAAACGGAATAAACAAAAAATGCATTTGAAGAAAATGAGGTAAAATCAGATTCCGAAAAAACCTAAACCAACGACAACCTAACCGACCAATTTACAGATTCGATAGAGGACCAGTAGAAGAGTATTCAACGAAATAAAATATATGCAGTTAACTACGAACAATTCAAACGAATAATAGACAAATGTTTAAAAAAAAAACACAAATCCGTGAGAATAATGTACACCTTTTTAATATTAATGATACAATTATGCTCGAAAAAATAAATTTAGTTAGACCTAAACTCATAACGCTTAGCGGTAAAAACCGATTCACTGGAAAACACGAAACTATTTTCAACAAATTGTCCGATTATGAGTTGTCTATCAACAACAATCACGACGACAAAAATCAATTTAATAAATTTCATCGCTTTTAACACACAGATTTCCCTCCAATAATTCGTATGTACGCCGATGTTCCTTCACAGTTATACAATTCTATAATGGAACACAGGGGCGGACTGGGACCCAATCGGCCTACTGTTTTCCATAAAAAAAAATCGACCCGTAAACCAAAATCACACCTAACGTACAAAAACATTTTACCTCTTTATTTTTTTAGTTTTCAAATTATCGACTGAATAAAATATATTTATATTTTTAGATATACTGTGATTAAATTATTATACATAATTTTCGTTTTACATTTTTGTTTTTTTTTTTTTTTTTAAAAAAAATCACTGATTAATAATATGAATATAAACATTGTTTACATAAATAAATAAAAAAAAAAAAAATACTCGCAAACAAGCTAACAAATGACATTTGACTTTATAGTTCTTACATAAAATACGCCCGTAGTATAATAACTACCCTATAAACAAATTCAAAAAAAATAACTATTTATTAACGTACTATGTTAACATATAACAATAATCATACCGTAAATATTATATGTAAAACAAAATAATATTGTATAATTCACTTTGGTCTTTACACCGATAACATCTGGTTTAAAATTATTTCGTACACGAGGTTCGGTGTACGAGCACACGACAGAAATCGGAATCGCAGGAATAACAAAGCAATTCGTATCGTGCATTCAGACTGCCGTAGTATCACGGCTACTAGGCTCGATATTTTAATAAATATTTCAGGAACACGTTACGCAGCGATCTATATGATGTATAGACTGGCATATCACGTAATACGCAGCGAATCAAATTTGTATAAAATTGAATCTAATATAATATCACTCATAAGAGGTACTCATGTCTGTCTACATAAATATTTTTAATACACTAGGTAAACGTTGGGTTACTTTGTGCCGGCCCGATGGATGTAATACGACACCGGCGCACTGTACAAATGCACAATAGCGCAGTGGCCCAGTCCGCCCCTAATGGAACATTAACTGCTATTTTAGTAAATGCCGGGCGCTTCGTATTCTAATCAAAACAATTTCACCCGCAGTCATTTGTTTGCAAGTAAATAACTGGATAAACACGATTACGTCGTCAACGCACCTAACTGCAACTATCATAAAAATCTTAAACACGGCGATAGAACTGGGGGCGGCACGGTAATCATTGTGCAATAAAGCTAATGTATAAATTAAAAAGTGAGCACATTGAAAACTTCAAAATTACCCTCAGTTTATAATGTACAACGATCTATAAGTTTTTAAGCGCTGAAATAATCAACAAACGTGGTTAAAACATTTATTGAACGTTGCCATCATAAGTGATAGTTTAAAAAATGATTAATTAACTAAGTATGATGACCATTATGGTATTAGATCTTTCATAAATTTATTGACTAGGGTGCCATTAATAGATAACTACTCGTGTTCAGATCATATTATTTTTATTATGATTTCGGTAGATAAAACTATAACGGGTGTAATTCCGACACCATGTATTGATCATCATTCTATAAAACCTGAAATACTATTAATTAATAATTATGATAGGTTAAAAGATCCTCAAATATTTAAAGTGTAAATTATCATTGGTCTGTAAAATGTTAAAAGTAGGAAATTAGTTGTGCCTGTATAAATTAACCTGCGTAAATTAATAAATGTCATTGAGAGCTAGTAACCATAAAAAATAGAATAAAAAAAATAACAAAAATATCAGAGTGAATGAAAATAACAAAAGTTTCATTAATATCGGTATATCATAAGAATTGTATACAAATAAAAATTAAAATACTAAATTTTGAATTTCTATAATAAATGTATAAATGAATTAACTCTTGTATCAATTAATTATTGAATGAGATATGACATTAAATTGTATTTTCAATTCACTTAACAAAATTATTGTCTATTGACATTTTAGAGAGAAGGGCTTTGGCCCGAAATCACTTCCCTTCTGGCTATGGCATTGGACTAGACCATAGTCCTAGACCGTATCTAGGTACGGTCTTTGTCTATTGTAAAATTTGTCCAGCCATTTTCAGTTTTCTAGTTCACATACAATAGCGACCTATTCAGTAGATAGAGAGGTGTAAAGTTTAATTAATAAGATTAGGTATTGATATTATAATATAATATAATTCCGCGTTTAATGGAGTGCAAGGTATAGTATTATTGTTTAATGGAGACGATAACAATGGCGTTATCACGAAAATATTTATTATAGATTAGGTTATCTATGAATTTTAGTGGCAAAAATTAATAAACGATAAACTATTATCTACAGAGTCTTCCAAATGTTATGTTGGTCAAATTCTCCATGTAATACTTATTTTTTCAAAACATGAACTTATATAAAAACGTTTTGTAATTTAAAATTCTATTAGTCAACACTGTCTTTAATTTTGAAACCCTTATGATTGGGGTTGAAAAGTTACCTATTTTTTTTTTTTTTAAATGGCAACCTTTATTAAAAATTGCATAAAGAGACGGAGTAATAATTTGAATATATTTTGATTTCGAAATGATATACCACTTTTAAGTTTGAGTCGGGGGTTTAAGTAGAGAGTTCTATAAAACAAATTCCGAAAAAAGTTAACGCTTTCCGATTTTTTCTTTTCGTACCTTACGATAGATTGATCACACTATATGTTTTAAACACGTACCTAATCGTGATTGTACATATTATTTTTCTTTAATTTTATAGCAAAAATGTATAATTTAATAACGTTAGTGTACTAATTGTATGGCTCCTAATTTTCTTTTAATTGAATTTTTTTCTAAGGGAACTATGCAACTATAGCCCCCTCAAAGTTTGGTTCTAGCGACGCCTATGCGTGCCGTATCGACGATTAGGACTGAAGCCCAACATTTGGGATTGATTTGTATCTCACTTCTATAGTACAAACTAATTTTTAGTTGGCTGATGATACTTTTTTAAAATCATAGTCTGGACAATGGAAACCGTATTTGTGAATAAACAACAATACTGATTACAGCACAGTACAGTACACATGGAATCGATTTGGAAGCGCCAATTTTTAAATGTAAAAAGAAAATTTAAGCTAATAATTAATTACGTTCTTATTCCCAAGAAACATTACTGAGAGTTTTTATAAGAACTTGCCAAGCATTCGTATACAAATGGTATTATATGGATGCATTATCTTTAACTATCGTATTGTCGTGGCTGTGCCAATTCTTTTATTAATTCGGTAGCCTTGTATTTCAACGAACTCTTCGAAACTTCAAAAGGATTTTCCCTTACGGCATTCTTGATTGCTGATGTTTCGTAAACTTTGGGTTCCGCCAATTCTCCTATCCGTTTTGATGCTTTACATTGCAATACGCGCAGCGAAATTTCAAATGGATTGAATTCGATATTTAATCTCATTTCGGATGCCAATTCCCGAGGTTCACTGATTCACGGTTTACTGATTCAATCATTTTATCCGGCAGTTTTTTTATTTTGGGTTTAGGTTATTTTTTTATAATTTCATAGCGTCTTGATTCTGGTATCATTGTTAAGCGGTCAATAAATTCTTCTATTTCAGCTTCAGTGAGTTAAGTGTGTTTTTTGTATTAATGATGGCCTGAATACTGTTTTAGGAACTGCATTTTTTTTGAGCCAAACTATTTGTTTCTCAAATGGTCTTAGGTACGATTTGCTTTGTTCAACTCTGTTACATTTTGGGTGGTATCTCAGTTGTTGTTTTGTCTGAGCCAGTTCTATTATTCGATTACTTGTATGATTGTATTTATTTGGAGTCCAGTTTATATACAGTTTACTGTACTCCAGGAGTACAGTATACTCTGTCTTTATAATCTGATGCGGTAGTGGGTTGGGTTACCTATTATTTGGTTTGTTCAAATTCCAAATGCGACTTGTTTTGTCCAGCTGGCATTGTATCGCTGCTTTTGAAACGGGTTCTGGTAATGTACGCTCCATAATACATACTACGTCTCGCCATTTTTTTTGGCTTTGCCAAAGCTTCTATCCGGTTTCTTTGCATCTTACGATACAACGGTTAACACCTTAAAAAATGTTAAAACTATATCGAATTAAAATATTTGTTTTGAAACTGTTGTAATATTATAAAGAAACTCCTTAATAACTGCAAGTAATGTATTTATTTTAAGTAACTAATTATATACAAAAACAATATTGCAACAGATTATATTATATATTATATCGTCTATGGGTACGTATCTATTGTGATCCTCGAGATCACAAGTTCAAACCCGAGTCCCGAAAAAAAAATGTTTTATTCAAAACAACGACAGGTAGGTAACAGAGAAAAACAATAAATTTCGGGTGGACCTAGAGACCGAAGCCATCATAATATATTGATATATATATATATATGGGGTGATAAATCTATCATAAAACACGCATTATCTCGGAATGTAATAACTATTTCCGAAATTTATTTTCTAGAACATTTAAAAAAACAAGCTCCTTTACAATTTTTTAAATGCGTGTTATTTTTTATCACCGTTATTTTGAGGGGTAAAACCACTACCTACTTTTGATGTTCAAATAGCAACTTATATTATAAATTCGATAAATAGACGGAGTGTTATTTAAAACACATTTCAGTTGGAAGAGAGTGGTGGAGTATCATTTGTGTGGCGGTACGACGCGCGGCGTGTTAATAATTTACCACCACTCTCCTCTAACCCAAACTTTAAAGTGGAATATCTCGTCAACGGATTGACGGAAATCAAAATATCAACACCAACATTTATTTTAAGTAATACTTCATTTATTTATGGAATTTTTGATATAGGTTACTACTTAAGTTATTAGTTTGAAGGTGGTAGTTTTTGATCATGGTGAATACTATTAATTGGTAAGTACGGTATGTCTGTATTTAAATAGTTTCATATCTAATTACTGCAACTTTATAGACTTTATAGATAACTATAGTCGAACAAAGTGTACTATAATATATATTATGTATTTCGAGAACTATTTTATCAGTTTAATTAATTTTAGATTGAAAAATTAAAAAACCAAGTTCTCAATATTTTGTTATGATGCGAATTGTTCACAGTGTGAAACTTGTATAGTCCAACTCCTACATCTCAACAGTTTTTATTCGTGTTAATGTAGTATTTTAATTATACGAATTTAATATAACAATTTTTAGATTCTTAGCGGACTGAAGAAGCTATATTATAGTTTTACTACTAAGACGTGTGTTTTATCTCGATTATATTGGCTACGAGATAAAAAAAAAAAAACACGATTAATACTATAATACTACGTCGGTTTTTGATTACAATGCTGTATCGTTACTATCTGTACACAAATTAAATTACCATACACAAAGTACTATAAATTTCTAACGTTCCACATTCTGAAGTGGCCTACCCACGGTAATTGTCGATGTTGTTATCGTTGTTGTTAAGCAGACAAATGAATCGTGTGTACCCGTTTAACGTTTATGTTATTGGTTCGTTAAGTAAAACGAGAAAAAAAAAATCCAAGCCCATTATGTAGATGCGTTAGTCGTATAACAGCGACCTATTCATTTGGAAAAAAAAAATAATATTAATCTAGCTGTATTATTGGAATTGATTAGTAAATGATTTCATTCGAAAAAATCAAAAACACCAACGAACGCAATAATGTACAGTGTTGTGAACGATATTTACCCGCGAACATAACACTGCAGACCCTATAAAATAGATAAATCACGTAGCGTAAGTGAATTAAAGAGACGAAATCAATTCTGTAAACATAGAATCGAGTTAATGGAGTGCATCGGGACATTATATTGCATCAACAACACGTATAATAATAATAATAATAATATATCGTAATCTATCTCGTTAATAGTGTTAGATTCGCGGAGCAGATGGTTTTAGCCTATGATATTAATATACATATGAGTGCGCCCACTTTATTACGATTATTTCGGCTTCAAAGTTTTCGCCCTAAACGAATAAAGTGGAAAAAAAAAAAACCGATTTTGTTCATCGACTCCGTCAAGGATCAATATGAAAATCATTTGGTGAACGGTACGACGAGGCGGCCGCGCGGCATTGCGAGTCTCTGATTTGTTGGCCAGCTGCAGCCTCCTATCGTTTCGTCAAATGTCACCGTTGTTGCCAAAACACGGGGTTTCCGGTCCAAATAGAGCCCGGCATATTCTCGTACGGTCGTTTTGCGCCTCGTAAAAAATATTCGGTTATTTGTTTTTTTTTTTTTTCTCTTTCTATAGTACTTAACCCGGACACGCACCTGGTCACGATCAGTCAAGTCTTCTTGCTCGTGCCCCCGACTGCCGCCGTACTTTGTCAACGATGTCAAATTATTAACCTTTTTTTTTTTTTTTTAATATATACCGACCGGTGACGCGGTGAACGTTTTAAAAACATGTTGGGTTATTTTTTTTTCGCGAAAATATTTCTAGTGGAAAACCGCGGTCACGTTTCCATCAGTGCATAAACGTATACCCGTTAACAACGAAAAAAAAAAAAATAATAAAAATTTCACTTTGGTTGTTTTTTATTGTGCATAATTTAATATATCGTTTAGAAAATAATAACCATAAACACCGCCGTACGATTTTCAAACTTTTATTCACAACGGTCTTGTTAGAAAACCCGTTGGACTTTTGCAACTATGATAACGAGTTGCTAAATATTTCGAATATCGGCGAAATGTAAATTAGTCTCATGAAATCACAAAGGTAATGTTATTATAACGTTGTTCGCGATTTATTTGAAATATATTTACTAAACAAAATACGTAATAAATAATTCGGGGTCTAAGGATATTGCGATGTTGTCCGCGTTCAGCCGCAAGTATTCCGGACATTCGAATAAAAACGATTTTCGGTATTCGACCTTATCGGTTATAATTATTTATGGCAATTATTACATAGTTAATTGGTATTTTTGAATGAAATGCGTAAATGTATAGGCACCCGTTCAGGCCCGACGTTTTAACGAAACTCGTCGCGTTCCTACCAATCGTAATATTTATGCATATATTTTTTTGCGTTATTAAATATTCGATTAATTAAAAAAATATATATATATATATATGTATATTTCGACCCGCAATGTTATTTGGGCGTGTTACACATAAAACAAATATACACGTTATTACAAATATATCAGAGCGAGTTCCTTTCGAAAATTGTTTGTCAAGTCGATTTATCTATCACTTTTACAATATCGATAAGAAGCAAGCCAACACACGTGTTCGTGAAGTGCGCAGTCTTTATTGTGGCCCGTTCATACTTTTTTTAATTACATTATATTTATATTATACAGACGCTGACAAGTGAATGCTGAAATTGCAACAACAAAAAGAGCCGACACTGTTAATACGATACGTATAGTTATTTCATTTATCTCTGTACTCGATGGATGCGAATTGCCGCGAATCATTGGTAACAAACGATTTCGGTAATATTTACGATTCTCATTGAAGTTTTCAATTAAAACGCTAATAAGCAAAAACTTGCACACCGGGCTCAAATTTTCTTCACGGACACTAAGTGCAATTACTAATGGCGAATTTCTCGTTGAATTTTGTGTATTTTTGATTGGCCGAAACACTATTATCCGTATGAAACCAAATCGAAATTTAAAAAATGCTGAACAATATCAAACGGCTATAAACAGCTTAATAATTTACATTTGAACATTTAACCGAGTTTAGGCGAAAGGGCAATATAAATATTATGTGATGTTCTAGTTCTCTACGTTTTTTATCAATCAATTTACCACAGAAAAACCAAATCGAAAACAACGGAAACCGTTATTGCGTTACATTTCACCGTTTTCTTACGGTTTATTTCAATTATTTAGACAAATTCAAGGAAAATCAATAGTATCCGAAAAGACGCTACACTGGAAAATCGCAGTGAGATTATTGGTAGAAAACTTGTTAACAGACACAAAAAAAAAAAAAATAAATAAATAAAAAAAAATATACAAATCATAGCAAAATCAATACATTCGTCGCTGCGCTCAAGATATACAAATTTAAAACCGAAAACGCGCGGCATCGGTAAAGTTGATTATAAAGTATCAAACGCGCTTTTTTACGGTACTCCTAACACTATACATTTTGTTAATGTACAAACATTTCTTACTCTAATGTTTATTAATCCTTAAAACGCGAAAAAAAAAAAAGAAGATTATGAAGTAACCGCTCGTTAATTCATACGAATGACAACCCATTAAATTATTGTTTACGCGGATAAATTATCATTTGCGGGCTCTTAAATGTAAATTACGCAATGGTTAATTTAATACTTGACAATTTTTCATTAGCCTCCGGGCTGCAGAGGAATATTCCGTGTACATTATATTATATTATTATCTAGGTTAAGTTATAGGTTAGAAAACAAAAAAGCAAAATTCGCTTTC